CGTACGCACAACTTAAGAACAAATCTGCGTACGAACGGTTCTTGCATGAGGCCCACTGAACAATGAGAACTGCATTCGTATTTCACATTTCTTTTTACAACATCAATCCCTTAAGCCTTAATTAAAAATCAATAAAGTATTAAGAAATAAAATATTGTCAAATTTAAGTTGTTTGTTTACATTCAAACAATGATGGTCAGTCTACGATGATAAAGATAGTGATGGTAAAATAATTGACGTAAGTGAAAAGTTTAAAGTTCATCAAAAGGACGTCGACAGACGTAAAGCCAGTTTGAGTGGGAAAAAATCAAACAAAAGGAAAAGTGCATCTAGAAATGAGCAACTCTAATGGATGAAGGCATATCTGCTGTGTTCTAAAGCAATTACTACAAAAACCCCAGTTTGTGTAACAGTGACACTTCTATATGTTTAATGATGCAGAAATGGAGTCAGAATCATTAAAACTCAAATAAAAACATTAAAATATCTTTTGACAGCTGTACTGTCTTAAGCGTTACTTACGTTTGCACAAAAAAATGCATAAAAGCACACAAAAGCATCAAATTATGCCTTAAATTAAACTTTTCTGACCATGAATTTTGCCCCCCCTGCTTTAGGGGAACCTCGTGTCCCACCTTTGCCCCCTCAAACAAAAACTTTATGTCCGCCTCTGCTTTTTGTTGTCGTCCACCTTTAATTTCCTTCAACAAAAAGGTTTCTTTCTCTTTACTGCACCAGAGGTTATTTATTTKTTTACATTTTATTTATTCGCAGCTCTTACCTCCACGCTGAACGGCTGCTCCTCTCCGTTCACGGCGCATAAAATCCGGAGCAACAACTGCAGGAGCACCGTCCCCATCCAGCAGCCGCCGAGGCAGCTCCAGCCGCGGCGGACACCCAGCGCAACCATCGCGAAGCCCCGCTGCTGCGGCCGGCTGTCAGCTGCTGGAGTCCCGGTAAACAAACGGACGAGCCAAGGCGGACAGATCCCTAAACCACCAGCGACATCATCGCCTCGTTTCGCCTCCGCTGAGGATGAGGAGGAGGGAGGAGGGAAAGAAAGAAAAAAACGGGAGGAGGAAAGGAGCCGATCGATCCGAGCGCGCTCTCGGCTCGAGAGGAGGTTATCCCCGGGTGGAGAGGAGTCCGTCAGCGGCCTCCCGGTCCAGCAGCACCCGGGCCCGTCCTCCGGTACAGCGGCCGTTGCTCCAGCAGGACTCGTCCAGCCCGTTTTCTGCAGCCGAGCGGCATAGCTGCCCGTTTTCTACCGTCCTCTTCCATCCGGTTCTCTCTCTCTCTCTCTCTCTCTCTCTCTCTCTCTCTCTCACACACACACACACACACAACAACAACAACAACAACAACAACAACAAAAAACACAAACAAACATCCTGATTCTGTTTCAAATTGTTGTACATATTCATTATTTTACATCATCCTGTAAAAATATAACAAAACTGAAACTAATAGTCTACCCTCCCCCGACCCCAGATCACCAACATGTATACCAAATATATAAATACCAGGACTGTGTATTGGCAAGAATTTGGCGATACGATACATATCATGACAGAGGGGTCATGATACAATATATCCCGATATATTTCGATACTGTAAACAAGGCGATATATTGCGATTTTTTTGGGTCCAAAAATTCTGTTAAATAAAAACCTTTTACTGGAAAAAAAATGAAAAACTAAAATTCATTGTCTCAGAAATTTCTAATATTACATAGACAAACTTTTGATACATTTAGCTGTGTTCTGCTTTGTATGTGTTTTATTT